GCCATCTTCCGTTTTCTAGACGACATTAGCATGTGTGGCTCCATGGCAGTGCTGCCAGGGGAAGGAGGCGGGGCCCAGGAAGGGGGCGGGGCCGGGCTGCCAGAGAGGCGTGAACGTTTGGGAAAGTTACGGAGGTTGTTTCACTCCTTGGAGGCACCTGAGGAGGGCGTGAGATGGGGCGTGGGGCGCCTGCTCCAACGGGTCACGGAGCTGGAGCAACACCTAGAGCCGATCGCAGAGCTACGTGAGAAGCTGGCCCTCGTGCTCTCCACGCTGAACCGTCTGGAAGAGCGGGAGCAAGTTGCATGCCCACATGTGCATCAAATGCACATACAGCCACAGCTCACACCACGACCTAGCCTACAGCAACAGCAGGGCTCCCCGAGGACCAATTTAGTGGCAGAGGGCATCAACGAGGCAGCAGCGAAACGCAGACGGCTGTTTGTGCGCAGGACCTCCAGGAGCCACACAGAGAGCAGCGGATCAGAAGCCCCCAGAGAGTGGAGCATCAGCTTCAGCAAGGAGCCACACATACAGTCTGTTAAGGTAACAGGATAAGAAATATATACAGTGGTGGCCAAAATGATTAGAACACTATTATTTTCACCAGCCTAAAATGGTTTTAAGTCAGTTATTTCTATCTTTTGCTGTAGTGTGTCAGTGAGAAATATCAGTTTACATTTCCAAACATTCATTTTGCCATTAATTGTAATAATTCAGTGAGATTTTTGTTTGCACAAGGAGTCTGACAACAGCCAGTGCTCCACACAGACATCTGATCTCATCATCATCCAGTTGTAATATTGTATTAATATAGAATACAGAATTAGAACATACATGTAGTTTGATTTTGACCTTATGTATAGATATAAGGATGAATACTTTGTCATAAAATAAACCTTGTTTGGCTTCTCAGTCAGATCATTTAGGTGGAGTGCATAAAAGAGAGGGCTCTGTAGTGCAGGAAGTGACGGGTTTTCACCTCATGCCACCTGAGACCCACAATGCACCACGCCGCACATCTGTCCATAGCACTACCCATGTGACTGAACGCCCCAAAGTGACCTGGAGCCAATCAGACTTAACACCGCTGGATCTTCAGGTGACACCTCCAAATGTAATGTTTTGAGTGAAAACATTGTCACCTCAAGAATCTGTATTTTTCTACAGTGTATTTTTGCTGGGGTCAAATTGACCTAAACTAGAATAATTTTTTTTATATTGGATGGCAATATAGTTTTCTAAAAAGTGCTTAGGTTTTGATGAGGTTTGCATAACATGTTTTGTAAATCTGTGTTAAAGGAACAGTTCACCTGATCAAGAGCCTGATAAAAACATCATAATAATCCACAAGTAATCCACATGACTTTTAGTAAACAAATCAGTCAAGATGTTTTTTAATTCAAATTCATTTTTTAATTCAAATTCATTTTTTAAAATTAATCTATAATGCCACTTATTCCAATGAAAAATTTTCTCATCTTAATCAGGAGAGAAATATGCACAGATCAAGCACCAATTACAAGGGTAAACAGTTCTAAACAAATATGTCAGTGGATTTTGATGTAAGAGGACAACAGGTTATGGACTTTTTCACTGGAGGAAGTGTTATCAATTGGCCAGAAGCAACTGTTCACTTTATAATTTGTTAACTGATGGACTTTAGTCGTGTGGATTATTGTGATGTTTTTATCAGCTGTTTGGACTCTCATTAATCTGACGGCACCCATTAACTGCAGAGGATCCATTGGTGAGCAAGTGATGTAATGCTAAATTTCTCCAAATCTGTTCTGATGAAGAAAGAAACTCTACCTAATCTTGGACTGCCTGAGGGTGTACATTTTCAGCAAATTTGAATGTTTGTGTGAACTATTTCTTTAATCTGGGATAATACTGGTTATTTTCAAATTTATCTTTATTGTTTTTCATAAACATCATTGGGTTCTTTGGGAACCGAATCATTAAATCAATCTTAACAGAACAGGAAAGAAAACAGATGATGAAACTGTGCAAAGCGTATATTAATGCAGATAAACCGGCACTTACAGTACTCAACTATTTTCTATATACATTTTGCAGGCCCCTGAGTCTTTGGAGTTCTGGACGGATGAGATTTACACGCCGGCCTCCGACACGCTCCTGCGGCGTTCGCAGTCGTACACCCGTTGTAGCAGGAACCAGGCGTACCGCATCGCTGCCCTCAGCATCACTGCCACCATCATCCTCATCCTCATCATCGTCATTCCAGTCAGCACCGCGTAACGTCCATACAGTCACATGACACGCCTGAGGCTACATTGAATGGTACAATATGTGTTTATTAGATAATATTATCAAGATTTTAATGAATGCATGAATTCTTCATGAACCTAATTCGAGAAGCATGGCAGACTGTCCCAGTGTAAAACCTATGCAAAATAGACTGCATTTCCTGAAACCTTCAGTGGGCCTTTTTGGAGTTTCCCTACCTTTAGTTTTGTTTGATTTTAAGCAGGTTTTCAGTTAAACGCTTATTCTGCAGTTTATGGCTTGTGGACATTCCGGTATGCCCTCTTTGTTGACGGATATTGGGGAGTTCCCATTAGTCTAATGTAATTCTGCTGAAACCTGAGACGGCATCCACTTGCTCGCACAGCGGCACATGTTTTGCACACTCTTGCGCACCTATGCTCTCTCTCCATTTAAATGCTTGGAAAATCCATTATTAGTTGCAAATTTACATGCAACTGCCCTTTAAATCTGCTAAATGTCCCCGTATTTGGAGGAAATGCTGACGTGTGATAGATATGAATCTCTTGTTTTCGTTTGAATTTGTGGGGAACTCGATCACTACCAAAATAGTGCTACAAAACGTAATATCCTGCCTCACAAAAGCTTAAAAGAAAAGGAAAACGAGCCTCCAGAGATCCAGAATGGATGCATGATGATGGTGGATCAATACCGGCACACATTTTCAATTTGCTGAACAACAGCACTAAACTTTTAATGGGCTGTGATGGGACTGAGTGAGTGAGGGAGGGGAGAGACCGAGAGGAAGGAGCGTTTGTCCTCTTTTATTGAGCCTGAAGCTTTCGGAGTCCTACTTCTGTCTGCTTCAGCTGATTAATGAGTGATTTGCTCAGGTAAAAAGGGTTGCCAATTGGGATTTTTACATGCAGTTTGATCTCTGATCGCTATTGTAATTCATCTTGCGCTACACACTACAGAATGAATGAGACCTCAATCAATTACTTTTCTAAATGATCAGATTTGCAATCACCTACAAAAACAAGCAAAGTGCTGACAGCCGCTCAGACCAACTTAGCAAATGCATAGTAAGCCTTGACAATGCTTTCAACAGCTGAATACTGTATTGTGATGACAATTGAATGAGATGTCCTATTTTAAGGAGGCTATGTGGGAAAAGGTTTGACTTTTGACATGATTTTGATTGATATTTTTGTGTTCCTCTTGTAGAAATAGCCTATGCATTTCTCCTCAGAATCATTCTTGTTTTTCATTCCATGATTGTATAAACACATGCATTTCTGGATTGGGATTTTTCTCTGACTGTGAAAATGTACCTCTGTCTCTTCATAAAGCTGGTTTTGGTTATTCGATGGGATTGTGTCTTGTGTGTCATATTTTCAGCCAGTTAAACAAGCATAGGAAGCAGGTGGATCATCATGACAGTGATTGGAGTGAGAGGTTTCTTTAATAATATGTGACCCTGCCTGTGTAAACCCAGCTAAAGTCATTTTTTGTGATTTACTGTTTTCTACATAAAATCATCCTTCAGATGATGATGTAGAACATTGTGAAAATATAACCTTTATATCTTTAATATTGGCTGATATGGCCATGTCAAAGATTGAAATTAATGGTTGAAATCAAACTTTGATGCTTGTTATCTCATAATTGAATTTGGAGACTTTAGCCTTGATTTCACAGACAGGGTCACATATCATCAATGCTTTGGCACACTGCTGCATGCTGCTTTTCCCAATGCAGTTTTAATATTTCAGAGCACAGCTCTAATAAACGTGTATTATCTATTTATGATCTGTCAGTTCCGTTATTGACGTGAAAGCACTTTACTGCACTTACACACAGTCTCTCAATCTCAAATGAGGCTTCCTTCTAATGTAGTTTATCTAAAACCTCCACTGCCTTTTTCTCTCTGCATACATACAGTATTGTGAAAGTGATTTGGTTTCATATTTGATAATGCAACAAAATTCATTATAGAGATCGCACACAAATTGATTCCAGTGAAACTTTGAAGAGTGAGCTAATTTAATTAGAAAAGCCAGTTTCATATAAAAGATATTAATATGAAGAGACTTATTGAATGATGATTGTTTGATCATTTCTCATAATTGATTTTTTGCTCATTTGTGTGTGTTTGACTGATGTGTTCATTTAATCAAGGAATTTCTATGAATTCAGCCTATTATGTATACATTTTCAATTAGTTTTTATTGGAAGATATTCACCTCAATGCCATATACTTTGGGAACACCAGTGAACATTGAGATTAAGCCAGTCAACTCCTAGAAACCTTAATAAATTACAATTAGCAAATTAATCTGAAGGTAAATTAGTTGATGTATTACTGCAGGACGCCAGTATTGTTGATTAAATGTTACATAAAAAAGGGAGGTGTTACTAAAATATGTATTTAAAATAATTCATTTGTAATTAAAATTATTATTTAAACGTACTGCATTTAAAATGTAATTACAACAAATTAAATTAAAAAGGGGGTAAATCAACTTAATATATAGCCTAATTAAATGTTACTTTTAATATTCATTTCGAGTTTTAAGGCATTATTTTTTTCAGTTGCTTTGAAGTTAATTTTCAAATCATTTTTAAATGCACAAAACTTTTTTTTTTTTTAAATCGCGACTGTAAAAAAATTTTACTGACGGCAAAAGGACGAACTTGTTACCTTGGAAACGTAACACACGCAAGCGCAGTAGCTCACATTTGTTGTTAAGCGTCCATGGTAACAGTTCTTGCCTGCAGGCTGCAGTAGGCGCGTTTAGTTTCCTTTTGCGTTATAAATTACATTTTCCCAATTATCTGTCTGGCTGGCTTTACGGCGGCTGTGAAATGGCTCATGTCCGGACCTATAATCCGCGCGTCCGTGTGGGCAACTGGAAAGAAGACGTGACTTTAGAAGAGGTTTGTTGTTCTGACGCATCTCATGTTTGTTGGTGTGAAGTCCAGACGATGAACGCAAGAGAACAAGTGAGTAATGAGCAGTGTCTCTGCAGGAAACTCTCAAGAACTTCATCCTGCAAAAAGACAGAGGCCAACTCACTGTTCAGAAAGAAGGAGATCTGAGACAAAACATCCTGAAACCAGTAAGTATTTTTTTTCTAATAATTTTCAACAATGTTGCAAGATATCAGATAAAATATTAAAATAATGTTCATTTGGACATATACTGTGCATATATATATATATATATATATATAAAACATTTATTTAAACATCTTAAAAATGTAATATTAAAATATACTTTGCGTTCCATATATTTCAGTCCAAGAAAAAACATTCACATGTCACATTTTAAGAAAACCTATTTGTTGTCTATACTATAGCACGTGAACATAAAACACACCAACAAGTCGTAAAATAGGGGGAAAAAGGAATAAAAATCAGCAAGGAACATTAAAAAAATTAAAAAATATATTTATACTGTAAATATAGTTTTGAATTCTATTCACAGATGTATTTTCTTGACCCTGAAATACATTTTGAAATAAATTTTTGTATATGAACGCTGAAACTGAATATATACTGTAGCATTGAATTAATTCATTATTTATTTTTTGCCAGAAATATATATTTTTGGTCGTATGGGATTTGAAAATTGGTGCTGAAATTGGTTGATTAATCCCCCCCCCCCCCCCCAACATTTATATAAAATTGAAATATTTTGCAACATTATAAATATCTTCAGTCACTTTTGATCAATTTACCCCCCAATAATCTTAGTTTTACTTACAACTTATGTAGTGCAGCGGTGCTAAAAAATGTTTTTGTGTCTGCTGCATGTGAGACTGATTCTGTTTTTTGTTTAGGTGAGTCTATCAGTGTCGCAGGATGGCTTTTTGCACTTTGGAGACACAGTCATGCTGGTGAACTCTGGAGGTGGAGAGCACGAGCAGCGTGGCTCCTGTGTCCTCAGCATCATTGCCGACAGCAGTTGTATCACATCACAGTCTGACTCAAATTCAGTCCCCCACCTTCTCGGGCCCCTCCAAGTAGGCGGAGCCCACAGCATGACCCCTTGTGTTAGAAACGCCTTTATCATTACAAGGTATTGCACATGCACGTTTAAACTCACTCAATCGCACAAACATAGTGGCTGATCTGTTTTATCATCTGTGGTCTGTGATTCAGTGTTGATAGGACCTCAGATGGAGAGGTGCTCAGATACGATCAAAGTTTTGCCCTGAGAACGACCGCAGGCTTTGCCGGAGAGGTAAACAAGCAAATGGCATGTACACAGTTTTATGTAATTACTGAGTTCCCAAGTCTCAGCATGCAGTCTGTTGGATTCCTCATAGCTATTCCTCGCCAGTGATCACAAAACATTTCTGAAGTGTGCTAAGAAGTCTCGACTACAGGAGTTGAGCTTAGTAGATGAGTTTGATTTCCTGTGCTGGTGGAAGGTGATTTACTTTGACCCCCAAGAAAGGCTTGAAAATGAAGGATACCCTGTTCAGGTTCACACTTTACACTAAATCTTTTTCAGATGTACTTGTTGTTATTACTTAGTAACTTAATCATGTGGAGTGGATGCTTTGTTTTGGCAGGTGAACAGCAAGGTTTTGATTTCCCACTGCAAGACCAATCAATGTCTGGCTGCTCTAGGCAATCACATCCTATGGTAATATATTTCATATTTTAAGAGTAAGTGATTCATTTCAAGTGAGCTGGGAACAGCTAAATATTACAAATACTCCAAAACCAGTTCATCAGTTCCTAATGAATAAAATACACTCCCATTCTACATTTTCTTGTTGAATATCATGTTTCACTCAGACATATGTCATTGCTTTATATATAAATTATATATGTATGTGTATATATATATATATATATATATATATATATATATATATATATATATATATACATTTTTTTTAGTACATCTGCAGTACATATTAATTGTAATTGCATGTTATTTGTAAATGAAAAAAGCTCCTCTCTAATCATGCTGCCAACATGAGGAAGTACGTTGAAGTGTTTTTAACATGTTTGCACAAAAATCACCATTTCATTGTAATTCCCATGCGACAACATGATCGCAACTGCTTAATCTGAAGGAATCGAGAGACAGAACAGAGGAGCAATGTTTTTTAATAGGACACAGACATGGTACATACAAGCACGTAACAGTCATATGTAACCAACGACATGATCATTCATTCATCAACACATATACAAAGAATAAATAAGGATTTGGAAAATGGGACAGGAGATATAAATAAAGGGTTCAGGAGGAAGTTTAAAATTGCTAGTTTACGTTTTTCCACTCGCTCCACTCGCTCCACTGAGAGAGGAGCAGCAGGTCTCTGCAGCGGACCCTTAGTTTTGTGATGGAACCCTGAACTTTGACCTTTGACCCCTCCTCCCATTCTTTAGTCTTTAGCTGTGAAGATACAGAAGCAGGAAACAAGAGAATTAATTACAGCAACTTTCTTAAAGGGACATAAAAATGATGACTTTCTGCAAGTAATGACTTGAGATTTCAGTCTGTTCCCCACACAAATCCAGCGGCCTTAAATGTCTTATGTAACATGGACTAATTTTTATTTTTTTTTTACGTCTAGGGTTTTTTCTTTGGATTTTTTTCGGAGCTTGACAGCATGTTCCCCATTTAAAGTCAATATTATGATAAACTTCTCCATGGAAGAAAGATGTAATTTTCATTCCATTTTCGGTGAACCGTTTGTGTGTGCAAAGAGAATGTCATACCTCGCCATTGTGTCGTATCTCATACTCGATCTGATGCTTCAGAGGAAAGAAACTGTGGGGCTGAGGCCAGGTCGAGGGAGGCTCCACCTCCAATTCTACGATTTGATTGTCACTCCCCTCATTTTTTATAGTGCAGATTGAAATGTTTGGATTTGCTGGCTTAACTAGGAAAAACAGAGAAAACATATTCAATCAGTAGGCACGTTTCCAATTACAGATTTGCGCAAAACTTTGGCGATATTTTATAAATGTCGATAAAAAAGTATTGCGAAATGACGGCGTTTCCATTAACCAATTTTATGCGACTAAATCATAATTTTTTCCTCTTGCGACAAGTCATGGCATGGATTTTGACGTATTTTGGCTACACTAGGCTATGACTTTTTATGTACGCCATGTGACCTGTTAATACGGGGAAAAAAACGTTTCCATTGAAGTTTTGCGAAATATTCCTTTTTCGAATTGCCTGAAAAACCACCTCGTGCGAGCATAAAAACGTTTTTGTGATATATGGGCGTTTTTTGTGAATTTTCAATTAGCAATTTCAATTTGCGCAATTTGAAGGGTAATGGAAGCGCAGCTAGTGATGATGTGCTTTAGAACAGTGGTTTTTAACTCGGGAGCCGGGGCCCACTAGAGGTCCTCAGCAAACTTAAAATGACTTTTTTTTTTTACATTTGACTTCAGAATTCAAGTATAGTCTGATCCGAGTGTAGATTTGAGCTTTGTGTGAAATAGAGCCAAGTGTGAAAAGAGCCTGTTTTATTTATATTTTAACTAACTTACTAATCTAATCAGCAGAGTAGCATAAACTGCATTAAATGGATAGTTTACCCAAAAATTTGAATTCGGTCATAATTTACTCACCCACAAGTTGTTCCAAACCTGCATGAGTTTCATTCTTCTTATTTTAAAGAATGTTGGTAGCCAAATAGTTACTGGTAGCCAGTGACCTCAATTGTGTTTTATTTCCCTCCATACTATGGAAGTCAGTGGTTACCGTCAACTGTTTCTCAACCTCAACGTCAACCAATATTCTTCAAAATATCTTCTTTTGTGTTCAACAGATGAAAGAAACTAATTTCTTTCACTCACAACTTGAGTGTGAGTAAATGATGACAGAATTCCCTTTAGCCCACATACTCACCAATGTCTCGTAGGTAGAAGCTGTATTCAGTTTTCATATAGCAGCATGCAGAAGCCGCCTCCCCTGTTATCAGCAGCTGCTCGGACTCTTCAGAGTATGAATTGGTGGAATGTGGGAGAAAAAATACCCCACCCACAGGCTGTGACACCCAGTCTCCATTATCCCTAAATAGATACAATAAGCATGCGTCTTTGAGTCAATGATAAAATAAGCTTAATGTATCTGTGGGCGTGTCTATATACCTTGTATTGCGAAGTCTGAAAGCAAATTCATCTGTAAAATCATTTGGGATCCAGGCACATTTGATTTTTTCAGTGCAGGAAAACGTCTCAGCTGTGCAGTTAATATTAAAAGCTGAAAAGGAAGAAAGAAATACACTGAAAAGCTGAGCCTGACACTGAACAGACAAAGCTTGAATACTCTGACCGAAAGTAACTGCCTTCCTGCTTTGTGGCCTAGACAATGAATGACTCAACAGGCAGCTTTTTTATGAAGTCACTTTTTAAGGAAACTAGTTTCAAACTGTCGATAACATCACATCTATGCTATTAAAAATAAAGGTTCTAAAACACAATATTCTACACACTAACAGAAGAATTTGCACAAAATATTGTAGAATTTGTTTGGATGCAGCCTTTGATGACAACAACAAAAGATCTTAAAAATAAAGGTTCTTTATTGACATCAGCGGTTCCATGAAGAACCTTTAACATCCATGGAATCTTTCCATTCCACAAAAGGTTCTTTATAATGGAAAAAAGTTCGATTATGGAAGACACTGGACACTAGACACTGGAAGGATCTGTGAGGAACCAAAAATTGTTCCTCTAAGCCATCGCTGTGAAAACACCCCTTTGGAACCTTAATTTTTAAGAGTGTGGAAAGAATTTTCTCCTTGTTTGATATGCATGATTATATGGTTAGTTGTATTTATTATTTGCGTCTAGCATGTTTTTTTCCTGCTGTTTGGAACTGTGAGGACACCATTAGTGAGAATCACTAATCTAGAGTGTGAGTTTACAGTTAAATAAGTGACTTTTGTAAAATTAGATAAAGGATTTTATGGACTCATTTACTGCTTAATTGTACACATTTTATTTGGCTATGTCTTCCTAACTCTGTATGCACAGCTTCTCATTCAGCTATTAGTAAAATACTGTGGTTTTGCGGTTTAAAACATTGTGGACAGTGTTTTAATATGTAATGTATTAATGTAATATCGGATGGGCCATGGTTATTAAATATCAGGATGCCACATCTTTGTAAGATTAACATCCTTTTTTGGGTTTTAGGATGATGTTCCCATAATACACTCTTAAAAATAAAGATTCTTGTTCTTCATAAAGATATGTGGTTTAGTGAAGAACATTCAAAGATTAGACTTAGATTATTGAAATGTTCTTCACACTACATGCTTCAAAATAAAGGATCTTTATTTGTATTTATGGTTCCATGAAGAACTTTCAACACCCATAAAGGTTCTTTATAGTGAAAAAGATTATTAAAACATTCCTTACACTATGAAAAAATGGTTCTTTCAGGAAATGTTCACTGAAAGGATCTTTGGGGAACTAAAAATCCTTGTTTTATGGCATCACTGCAAGAAAACGCTTTATTTTTAAGAGTTAACGAAAAATAGTTCTTTTAGAAACTGTTCACTGATTCTTTGGGGAACCAAAAATGGTTAATCTATGGCATTTCTGTGAAATATATAATATATGTATATAAAATATATAATATATGTCTATAAAATGTATAAATATAATATATATAAAATATATAAATATTATATATATATATATATATATACTGTATATATATACATATAAACTTACTAATCTAATCAGCAGAGTAGCATAAACTGCATTAAATGGATAGTTTACCCAAAAATTTGAATTCGGTCATAATTTACTCACCCACAAGTTGTTCCAAACCTGCATGAGTTTCATTCTTCTTATTTTAAAGAATGTTGGTAGCCAAATAGTTACTGGTAGCCAGTGACCTCAATTGTGTTTTATTTCCCTCCATACTATGGAAGTCAGTGGTTACCGTCAACTGTTTCTCAACCTCAACGTCAACCAATATTCTTCAAAATATCTTCTTTTGTGTTCAACAGATGAAAGAAACTAATTTCTTTCACTCACAACTTGAGTGTGAGTAAATGATGACAGAATTCCCTTTAGCCCACATACTCACCAATGTCTCGTAGGTAGAAGCTGTATTCAGTTTTCATATAGCAGCATGCAGAAGCCGCCTCCCCTGTTATCAGCAGCTGCTCGGACTCTTCAGAGTATGAATTGGTGGAATGTGGGAGAAAAAATACCCCACCCACAGGCTGTGACACCCAGTCTCCATTATCCCTAAATAGATACAATAAGCATGCGTCTTTGAGTCAATGATAAAATAAGCTTAATGTATCTGTGGGCGTGTCTATATACCTTGTATTGCGAAGTCTGAAAGCAAATTCATCTGTAAAATCATTTGGGATCCAGGCACATTTGATTTTTTCAGTGCAGGAAAACGTCTCAGCTGTGCAGTTAATATTAAAAGCTGAAAAGGAAGAAAGAAATACACTGAAAAGCTGAGCCTGACACTGAACAGACAAAGCTTGAATACTCTGACCGAAAGTAACTGCCTTCCTGCTTTGTGGCCTAGACAATGAATGACTCAACAGGCAGCTTTTTTATGAAGTCACTTTTTAAGGAAACTAGTTTCAAACTGTCGATAACATCACATCTATGCTATTAAAAATAAAGGTTCTAAAACACAATATTCTACACACTAACAGAAGAATTTGCACAAAATATTGTAGAATTTGTTTGGATGCAGCCTTTGATGACAACAACAAAAGATCTTAAAAATAAAGGTTCTTTATTGACATCAGCGGTTCCATGAAGAACCTTTAACATCCATGGAATCTTTCCATTCCACAAAAGGTTCTTTATAATGGAAAAAAGTTCGATTATGGAAGACACTGGACACTAGACACTGGAAGGATCTGTGAGGAACCAAAAATTGTTCCTCTAAGCCATCGCTGTGAAAACACCCCTTTGGAACCTTAATTTTTAAGAGTGTGGAAAGAATTTTCTCCTTGTTTGATATGCATGATTATATGGTTAGTTGTATTTATTATTTGCGTCTAGCATGTTTTTTTCCTGCTGTTTGGAACTGTGAGGACACCATTAGTGAGAATCACTAATCTAGAGTGTGAGTTTACAGTTAAATAAGTGACTTTTGTAAAATTAGATAAAGGATTTTATGGACTCATTTACTGCTTAATTGTACACATTTTATTTGGCTATGTCTTCCTAACTCTGTATGCACAGCTTCTCATTCAGCTATTAGTAAAATACTGTGGTTTTGCGGTTTAAAACATTGTGGACAGTGTTTTAATATGTAATGTATTAATGTAATATCGGATGGGCCATGGTTATTAAATATCAGGATGCCACATCTTTGTAAGATTAACATCCTTTTTTGGGTTTTAGGATGATGTTCCCATAATACACTCTTAAAAATAAAGATTCTTGTTCTTCATAAAGATATGTGGTTTAGTGAAGAACATTCAAAGATTAGACTTAGATTATTGAAATGTTCTTCACACGACATGCTTCAAAATAAAGGATCTTTATTTGTATTTATGGTTCCATGAAGAACTTTCAACACCCATAAAGGTTCTTTATAGTGAAAAAGATCATTAAAACATTCCTTACACTATGAAAAAATGGTTCTTTCAGGAAATGTTCACTGAAAGGATCTTTGGGGAACTAAAAATCCTTGTTTTTTGGCATCACTGCAAGAAAACGCTTTATTTTTAAGAGTTAACGAAAAATAGTTCTTTTAGAAACTGTTCACTGATTCTTTGGGGAACCAAAAATGGTTAATCTATGGCATTTCTGTGAAATATATAATATATGTATATAAAATATATAATATATGTCTATAAAATGTATAAATATAATATATATAAAATATATAAATATTATATATATATATATATATATACTGTATATATATATATATAATATATTCTGTGAAATATATAATATATAAATAACATATGCAGCCTTTATTTTTAAGAGTGTATGGCAAACATTAATCAATCATACGTCAAGCACTATTGCTAACCATAAAAAGTGATTGCTTAGTAGGAATGTTAGATAGAGGATGTTCAGCAGATTTTCCCACCTGTAGTTTCTTTAGACTTGTCGAGCAGGAGATAGGTGTAGTCTTCAAGACCTGAATCACTCCAGCAGGTGTAATTCCCTGTTAGGTCTTCCTGCAGGTCAATCACGGTCAAATCCCGCCCACTGAGGATTTCAAATTCTGATTGCGATATGTTCTCTATGCTATTTGCGTCCTCACGTCTCCATGTGATTATGTCTTTATCTGTTCTACAGGTCAGGGTAACGGATGCGTGTCTCTCAGCAATTTCAACTGCATAAAGAGAAACAATCCAGAACACAGAATGAGTGCCAGAATGTGTGTGTTTGTGGAGACTAAATGTCTGTGAAATGGTAGTAAAACCAGTCAACTACATTTTGACCATCTTCAATATTATTTATAAAATAAATAAATAAATATATTATATTATATGTTCAGTAAATACTTTTCTGGGTAAAAACCCAGTAGCGGGGGACTCCCCACTATGATATAAAAACAGTGTGTATGTGTGTGTGTGTACTCATGCTTAAATAATGATGTGGTCAGTACACTCACATTTCTCAGGGAAAGAGTTAAGTGCGGACATCCTCATTATGCACAAACAGAAGAGAAGGATGAACCTTATCAACCAAACCATCTGGTGAAAGAAACACAAAAATTGCATACTTAATATGAAAATCTTGATTGATTTATTAGTCACTTTCTCTGAGCAAAAGTAAAATACAAAAAAAAGTGAATATAAGCAGCTTAATACATTAATAAAAAAAATAATGTAGCATTGAACATTGATAATTATTGTAGCATGAACATTATAGCGTACTGAACATTAATCTATATTAATTGTAAAAATACCAGTCATCATAAAAATATACAATAATTATTAATTGCCAGTATTAAAAGTAGGGCATTTACAGATGGCCATGGACCAAAAATGAAAAGATTAAACATTTAGATTTTCAATATTTGTATTAATATATTAATTTAAAGGAATGTATAAAGGCATAATAGGCATTTTCTATGTTTTATTTTAATTAGTATCTTTGTAATTTAGTTATTGCAGTTCATTTAAATGTTCCAAATTAAGTTAATATTTTTAAAAGTACAGATATTCTACATCTCCAGATTAATATAATCCCATGAAACTGTTTGTAGAATGTCAAGATTTGGCAATATATATAGCCTATACTGTGTATACATATACATATACATATATATATATATATATATATATATATATATATATATACAGATATATATGTATATAAATA